CCTTTCCTTTCCTTTCCTTTCCTTTCCTTTCCTTTCCTTTCCTTTCCTTTCCTTTCCTTCTTTCCTTTCCTTTTTCCTTTCCCCTTTCCCCTTTCCTTTCCTTTTCCTTTCTCCTTTTCCCTTTCCTTTCTTTTTTCCTTTTCCCTTTCCTTTCCTTTTTCTTTTCCTTTTTCCTTTTCCCTTCCCCTTCTTTTCCTTCCCCTTCTTCTCCTTCCCCATCTTCCTCTTCCCCTTCCCCTTCCCTTCTTTCCTTTATATCTATGTGGAATTATTCCCTTTGTGGTTTCCTTGAGTGTAATTAACCTCTTTAAGATGGAATTTTCCTTCTGGTGCCTCTGAAGAATTGGATTTGTAGACAGATGCTGTTTAGGTTTGGTTTTATCATAGAATGTATTGTTTTTTCCTTCTAATGTGATTGAAAATTTTGCTGGCCATAGTACTCTGGGCTGGTATCTGGTATCTTACAGTTTGATGACTACAGGCCCTTCTGACTTTTTGAGTCTCCATTGAGAAGTTGGTTATTATTCTCATAGATCTGCCTTTATATGTTATTTGTTCTTTTTCCCTTGTAACTTTTAATATTCTTTTTCTGTATATTTAGTATTTTGACTATTACGTGTTTTTGGAATTTTTTTTTGTTCCAGTTTATTTGGAGTTCTATATGCTTTTGTGATTTCATTGAAAATGTTTTCTGTTTCTTTTACCTAGGTCTCCTTTTCTTCCTATATTTCTATTATTCATAGGCCTGGTCATTTCATAATTTCCCCGACTTCCTAGATGTTTTGTGCCTGGAGTTTTCAATTTAATATTTTCTTTGACTGAGGTATCCATTTCTTCTACCTTGTTGTTGTCAATGCTTGTGATTCCCTCTTCTGTGTCTTGTTCTCTGTTGGTGAGGTTTACCTCTGAGATTTTTGTTTAGTTTCCTATTTTTTTATTTTTATTTTTCAGTTTTATCTCAGTTTTGGTTTTCCTTAGTGATTCTTTTCTCTCATTTCTTTTGAATTGCTTTCATTATTTCATTTAACTGTTTGTATTTTCATAGTCTTAATTAAGAGATTTATTCATAGCCTCTTTAAGGTCTTTGGAAATACTAGTTACTTTGTTCATAATAGGTGTGTTTTGAAGTCTTTATCATATTTTTCAGCTATATTGCATTTCTTGGGTCCTACTGCAGCATTATAGGGTTCTGGTGGAGGTATATTGTCCTGGCTCTTAGTGGTTTTGGTTTTGCGATGGTATCTAGATATCTGGGTTTGGTGATTCTAGGTGTTTATATACAAGTCTTTCTTATCTTTGTTGGGTGGGAATTCTATTCCTTGGTCTCTTTTGCCTTCTTTGGGTATTAGGAAAGTGTAGTAGCTGTAGGTTGCCTGATGTTAAGTGCTTTTGCAGTTAGATGGGTGGCTGAGATGAATGAAGGTTGGCTAGAAATAAAGGTTGAGAAGGGCTTTAGGATATAGCGGATTCTGTCCTCATCAAGAAGTGGGGTTCCTAGGGAGTAAGTTGGAAATGTTGTGGGAAAAGGGATTTTGCAAGTAAGTTGAAGTAAAGAAAAGAATAATATGGTGAGACGGGGATAAAAGGGTTAGGGGGACGTTGAGTCTCAGTTGGAGTCTTCGGTGATGGAGTTGAGGTAGTAAGAGGGATACCTGTAGCAACCTGGCTGAGGGTGAGAATGGAATGTGGAAATGGTAATGAAGGACAGGAAGGATAGTATAATTACATACCTCAGTCCATGTCAGGTGTACCCACTGGTGGTACCAGATAGGAAGTGTTTCTAGGTATTGGGGCTGACAGAAAGGAATGGAGATGGACTAGTGATGGGTGAGAGGGTCCACAAGAAGGAGGAAAGCTGCGTCCACATCAAGTCATTGTGTAGTCACCCAGTGATGACAGCAGTGTGAGAAGAAAACCTCTAAGCAGGCTGCTACAGGGCTGGGGGTGAGACTGGAGAGATTATAATGAAGGACAGGAAGGAGAGTGAAAATTTCCTTTGCTTTATTTGTTTCCCTTTATTCAATTATATTTCTGTATTTCTTAAAGTCTCTTCAGGACAGTGGACCATGTTCTGTGCCTCAAGACACAGTTACCTCATACAACTACCATCAGCAGGTAATCTTCATAATGTTACCAAACAGTTATTTACAGTAAGCTAAACAGAAGAAAATGATTTTTTTTCTCTGCCTTCATAATTTTGAGCAGCTGGCTTTACTAAGGATTATTGTGCCCTCTGTTACCTGAGACAGTGATTATTACCTGGTACAATGTTTAATACAATGTTTAATACATTTATTTTAGAAATCAGTTAATTATATTTTCAGACACTATTATGTGGTCTGCTTTGAACATTTTATGAATCAATCATGAGTAAATTACCTTCTAAGTCTCTTTACTTAAACATAAATTGGGAGCTGGCATTTACAAAGGTAGCTGAATCCATAGAACTTGAAAAGGAAAGAAAGAGAAAACAGCATTTAGAACACTACGATTTTTTTTTTTTAATGTAGTGAAGCAACAGTTTAGGAAAAGAGGAAAAGTATTGATGCTCTGAGAAGAGAATATTTTTCAGGAGCAGAATACGGCCCTTTCCCAAGAGGTCAGACAGTTAACCAAGAATTAAAAAAAGAGGTCAAAGATTAACCAGAGTCTAGTAAGATTTGATGACTTGTTATTTTCAGATAATTGGAGAGGCTTAAGAGCCATATTATAGTAGTCAGAAAAGAAATGAAGGCTGCCAATGAAGACAGTGTTTAAGAGTCTGTTATTTGTTTTATATACATATATGTGTGTGTGTGTGTGTGTGTGTGTGTGTGTGTGTGTGTGTGTATGTTAGTTTTTTCATTTTTTTAAAGACAGTATTTCTCTGTGTAGCCTTACCTGTCCTTGACTCACATTGTAGACTAGGCTGCCATCTGCTTGGGAAAGCAGTATGTTCTCTTGAAGAATTTTGCACCTTAATCAGAAAAGAAGTTTCATTCATTTATACCTAAATACAAAGCATTCTTCTGCTTGAATCTTTATATAGATAAATACATATATGAGTGAAAATTAATATATATTACAAATGTGCAGAGACCTAGAAGTTACCATTTTAGGAACACGGCAACTAGGCAGATAAAGGATAGGAGTTGGAGGGAAGCTTTCCATGTAATGTAGCTTGATAGCTTTATTGTTTTGATATTAATGTATTATCCTTGCAGGAAGAAAGATAGCTCTCGCCGTAATCAGAGATAGTGCAAAAGAATTAACTTTAATATGGTTTGCATGCAGATTGACTTCTCAGTGTTTCGTCAACAGAGAAATCATAATATCCTTAAGTTAGGTTCAGAGGAGGAAACAAACACAATTTGAGAAACCAATTTTAAGAATTCTAATCTTTCTTCCACTTACAGATATTAGAAAGTTCTCCAGCAATTGCAGCTTCATGGGCCAGCCATGTTCCAGTTCTAGGTTTATCTAATTGTACAGGAGATAATCAATCTGTCAGTAACTCTGATGTTCCTTCACAAAATGCCACAGAACCTGTCTTTGTACCTCCACCTGCACAAGACAATCCAGGTGAGTTATTAGTGTGTATTTACTTTGGAAACCTTTTGTAGTCATGAATATGCATATACTGTTATTCCAGTTATTAGGTAGTATTGTAATTAAAAAAATAAATGTTAATTGTACTTTAAAAGGTTGTTACATCACCAAGCGCTCTTATGAGATTTGAAAATCAGTTTAAATTCTGATTTTGTAGTTTGTTTTGGTAATAGGGCTCTGATCAGATTTTAAACCTGCCATCTGTGATACAGTGGATAGTTAAACCTGACATTTGTGATTCAGTAGATAGTTAGATATTTTGTACTGTTTCTACAACTTTGAATTGTTTTGTAAATTTTTTCATAATGTGTATATGGGGCAGGGGTGAGCATGCTGAGGCTTGAAGAAACTATGGAGTTGATTCTTTTCCTTCCACTTGTACATGAATTTTAGGGATCAAAGTATGTTACTAGCTTTTTACAGCAATTTATTGCACCCACTGAGTTATCTCCCTGGCTCCGTTATTATGTTTCCTTACTTAATGATTGACATAGAGATAGATCCACAGAGCAAGTTCCAAGACAGCCAGGGCTACACAGAGAAACCCTGTATTGAGAAAAACAACTCCTACCTTCCAAAAAGAGAATTTACTTAAAGGTAGAATGGTCATGGGATGGGGTTTGATCTATTACTAAGTGAAATGCATGTGGCACTTGGTAGAAAGAATTAGAGTAGTGTAGTTTATAACAACTCATAGAATGGACTATCTAGGATTCCCTTCCAGGATAGTATTTCTCAGTGAAAAAAAAAAACTGTTGGGAATAGAGGGATAAAATTGATCAGGGTAGAGACAAGGATTGGGTTCAGAAAGAAGGAACTGAGACTAGAACCGGTGAATTCTAGAAATGTCACATTTTTTAACACTGCACAAAAACAATGAGCGAGAACTCTAGAGGATTGGGAAAGCCACCTTATTCTCAACTTTATGAAGAGAAAGTTCACATAAATATAAATATAATTAAAACATTTAGGTTGAATATTCTAAGTGGTATCAAAGAAAAAGGGCAGACCACCCTTCCAGATAGTAAAAAGCATGTCAAAAGTGTACCTACTAAACAAAATTAAGCTAAACAAATGTAAAAACTGTACTGAACTATTTCAAAATGAGGCAAAGATGTTAATAAAGTACCACAAGATTTCAGTTATAAGTTAGAATGAGAAAGTTTCATGTGAACTGACAGAATTCAGAGAACTAGAAGCAGATCATTTCAATATTGAAAAGCATAAAGAGCCTAAGGGGATATATACAATATATAATGCTTCAAGAGGAATGAGGATATAAGAAAGGAATCTATAATTTAAAAATCAAAGACTGATTCAAAAGAGACATGTTGCAGTTAGGTAAAAGAGATCAAATCTTGATAGAAATTCTGAAGGAGAATACTGAAGGGAATAAAACAGATAATAAAAAACTTTGTTGAAACTAAGAAACATGAGATCTTTGAAACATGCATGATATCACTGTGCAGAGATCAGAACATCAACCCAGAACATCCAACATTCAGATATTCCGATAAAATTGCTAGACTTCAAAGAAAAAAATAATATCTTTTGAGAATTTATGTAAAAGAGTATGTGGAATATAAGGGGATATTATAATCATCAAACTTTGACATAAATACTTTATGTAGGAAGGAAATGAAATAAAATTCACAATATTACAAAGAAGTCTGGCAAGATGGTTCAGCACATAAAACACTTCCTGCTAATTCCAGGAAACCACATGGTGGAAGGAGAGATTAGACTCATGAAAATCGTCCTCTGATCTCAATACATGCTATGGCGTGCTATCCTATCCTCCCTACCAAAACAAGTGTGAAAAAAATTCTCAAAGGACCATGATTTTCTTACCTGCTAGAGAGATTTTCAAGTATAAAGGATAGCATGTTAGAAGCAAAGTATTTTTCCTACGAACCCTTCTTGAAGAATCTGTTAGAGGTGTGTGGTGAAATAAGCTCCATGTAACAATTTGAATTAGTTGCCATTAAATAAACCTTTACTTCTTCAGTAAGAAGCATCATGCCGTGTGTTCAAAGCCACATATAACCAATAGCTACTGAACTCAACAGCACAGGGAATAATTGTACCATCAAAAAGTTTTAATGGGAACCTAGAAAGATGGCTCAGTGGTTAAAGGCACTCACTCACTGCTCTTCCAGAGGACCTGGGTTTGATTCCTAACACTCACATGATTACTCAAAACCGTTTGTAATTCCAAGGAGATCTGATGCTCTTCTGGCCTTTGGGGGCAGTAGGCATGCATGTAGTACACAAATATACATGTAGACAAACACTGATGTGCATAAATAAAATAACTTTTTTCTTATTTTTACAGGTTTTTTTAAAAGATTTGTTTATGTACATGAGTGATAAAATAATTTTTTTAAATTGTATTTGGCAATAGTATAGTAGAAAATGATGTTGGAGCTTTAGATTACAAAAATAAAATATTAGAAACAGTGGTACAAGACTTGATATAACTATTGAATATGTAGTTCCTTATAGAATAAGAACAAAATGAAAGCCAAGAGATTGAGAATTGACTATGTAGGAACCTTATATTTGGCTAAGATATCTACAACTATTTTTTAAAATGGGAAAATAGGGAGAAAAAAACCCACCATTTTGAATGCTGTCATTAATTACATCAGTTTCTTTTGTCTAGACAGATTAGTTTAATTATGTTATATCTAGTTTTGTTATCTATATTCAGGATCCTCAAGCTAGAAGGTAATTATAAAAGTCTAATAAATACAAAGTTTTTATAATCTTGAACCTGAATCGGATGCATCAATATGAACTTTGGCTATTTTACCTCTAAATATATCTTTACATTTCCTTATCTGTTCATTGAAAGTCTTGGAAGTAGTAAATATCCCTAGCACTGAATTTTGGTAGTGTTAAAATACTATTTATCATTTTGAAAAAAGAAAAAACAATGTTTTGTAGAAAAATAGCTGCTTTCAGATTTGGACAATAAATATTCAAGATGTGCCTATAATCTCTTGTCAACAACAACAGGAAAGCTATCAAAGATCTAAGATGCCAAAATGATTCAGGTGCTTGTTTAGATTGTTTTTCACTGGTTAGGATGGATCAATTTGAATTTCAGTGATTATAATTGAGATCATTTATAATGTAATATATAAAATGTCTAGGTTCCTAATAAGATTTTAAAACTTTAGCTTGAAGTCTATTTCCTTGAAAATGAGAAAATAAAGTGAAATAATTATGTATTTTGCCTTCCTGTTGAACTATACCACTAGGTAACTAGATAGTGGATTTGGGGGTGCACTGGGGAACTTGTGACATTACTATTATATTACAACTCGTCAATCAAAGAAAAATGACAGAGTATCACCATTTTCCAGTGTCTATTTGGATGGATGGATGGATGGATGGATGGATGGATGGATGGATGGATGGATATTAAAATTATTGGGTATTAAAATTACATTATAGTTTGGGTTTGGAGTGTCTCTCAGTTGTCTGTTGAAAGCTTGTTGAGAGATCTGTTCTAGTGGGATGTTGTAGGTTATTAATACCCTACTCTTGAAGGGGATAGTGGGATACCATCACTTTTTCTTTGCTTCTTTTTTGATTCTTATCTGCCATGAAATGAGCACGTTTCTTTGGCAGGTATTTTGACAACATGTTGCCTCTACCACACACCCCCAAATGATGATGCCATTATTTCATGGACTTAAACCTTATAAAAGTGTTAGTAATGATCGGCCTCCTAACAGGAAGTCTGACGGTCACACACTGCCTACAGGTGTGTAAAAGAAATCATTCCTAAGGCTGATATGGTTTCCCAGATCAAGCTGCCTATTTGAAAAAAAAATAACCTGAGAGCATGTTGAACAATACCCTCAATATGTAATCAGCAAAGTGGAGACTGTGAATTGGGAAAGCCAAAGGCCTCAAGTTCTTCAAAAGAAAAGCCATTAGGAAATGTAAAGGACAGAGGAAGGACAAATAGATGAAAAATAAAATTGAAGCCATAATAAACTTTTAAAGATGATTAAGATTTTGAAAGTTGTCTGTGGATAGGAAAATAAGTTGAAAAACACACTGAAGTGATTAGTGTTAGAGTGAGGATTGTTGTCAGTCATGTGGAAGTGAAAGGGCCTGGACATGGGGAAATTGGAAATGGCTTGGGGTGGCTGACAGTTTACTCCTAGACCTATATATAATCTTGAATCATTTAGCCAAACATTAATTTTTTTTCTCTCAGCTTCATTTGTAAATGAAGTGCATGGCACAGTGCTCAGAAAAAGTACATGTAACAAATGTTTGTGATGTGACTCTTTAATTGGAAATTTTACTCTGGAACCCTGGCTTTAATACTTACTGATAAATCTGGGAAAGCATAGCTTTTCTGTCTCCAGCAGAGGCTTGAGCTTAAAGAATTTAAATCACAGCTAAGTTAAGGATTTTAATGCGTCATGTGGATGGAACCATTACAAAACTTACCCTCTGGGTTGTTAAGATTGCTCAGTGGTAAAGGTTTTTACCACCAAGCCTGGTGATCTGAGTTTGAACCTACATGCTGGAAGGAGAGAATGGACTCCTGAAAGATGACCTCTGCTTCCCACATGCAAAATGTGCCTGCCAAATACATAGGACTCACAAAGACACACATATACACCTCTGAGTTTGAGGTAGCTAGTTCACATAGTGGGTTGCAGGTCAGCCAGGGCTACATAATGGAGGAGAAAAGGAAATTTTAAAAAGGTGCTTATTGTAGTATACACAATTATAAGGAATGCCAGTTAGTGCAGAATAACTCTAATTTCTTTAAATTTGATTATCTCAGGTTTGTGACAATTTATTTTGTTACCTCTAGGTCTAGTAGTTCATGTTTCTCTAGTGATCATAATTACATTCTTGTTTTCAAATAATTGGCCTTACCTCATTTTCATGGCACTGGCCACTAAAACTGGGGATTTGTGTGTGTGTGCTACACAAGCACTGAGAACTAAGCCATCCCTCGCTCTCTCTTCACATTTTATTCTTCAGCAGTCTCACTGGCCTAGACTGGCCCTGAGCTTGCTCTGTAGCCCAGGCAGGCCTTGAACTTGAGATTCTTCTACCTTACCCTCCCAAGTATCCAAGATTACGAACTTGTTCTGCCAGACTCCATTTTTTTTTTAAACAAAAACCTACTATGATTTGTTGATTACTAGTTTAAAACAGATAAAAAAAGAGAACTTTTTTGGAAATGCCATTTTATAGAAGCATCCATCTAAGCGTTAGTATACTCTGATAATCAAATTGCTTTTCTAAAACTATGAAAATAGATGTTTATAAATTTATAGCAAAACTCCAAAGAGTTATTAAGTTGTCAAAATTTGCTGTGTATGTTAGGTTTAATAAAATTCTTTTTCTGTTGTTCAGTTCTGTAAATTTTTCATAAATTCACTGTTATGTAAACAATACCATAATCAAAAGAGGATTTTGGTATTTCCATTCCCCCAAAAACTGCTTAGGAATTTTTTTTTTGCTTTGTTTTCATCTGTACATACATCTCCTATTACTATTAGCATGAAGCTGAATAAAAGGTATTTACGAGTATATTATTAGCATTGCCACTGAATGAAGGCGTAGTACATTCTTCTTGCTCAGTTTTCAGAGTAACAAATTCAGCTTGTGATTGTTTTTAAGGTAAACTCCATGGCTTAGAACTCTGAATTTAATGCGTTATTGAATGATGAGATAAAACTTTTTGCCTTCTGGTGTTAAAAATATCATGTATATTGCACAGCTTTGAAGTTTGGCAATTTCATTTGTAAATTGACTAAAATTACCCAGTAAAATTTGAAGGGTAGTGGCATTTAGCATTTGTCAAAATACAACAATTTTAGCTAGTATATTATGTGCATGTAGGTATTTTTACTAGGTTGGAAACATTATTGATCATCAGAGGGGTTTAATACACAAACAATTATATTTCAATTTTGTATTAAAACTGAGTCTCCTAGAGCAACAGAACTAAGAAATCTGGGTCCAGGGGTCTTTTCTGAGACTGATACTCCAACCAAGGACCATGCATGGAGATAACCTAGAACCCCTGCACAGCTGTAGCTCATGACAGCTCAGTGTCCAAATGGGTTCTCTAGTAATGGGTATAGGGGCTGTCTCTGACATGAACTCCTTTGTGGGCTCTTTGATCACCTCCCCCTGAGTGGGGAGCAGCCTTATCAGGCCACAGAGGAAGACAATGTAGCCAGTCCTGATGAGACCTGATTGGCTAGGGTCAGAGGGGGAAGGGGAGGAGGACTTCCCCTATCCATGTATGAACTTGGAGAGGGGCATGGGAGGAGATGAAGTAGGGAGAGTGGGATTCGGAGGGAATGAGAGAGGGAGCTACAGCTGGAATACAAAGTGAATAAACTGTAATTAATTTAAAAAATAAAAAAATATATAAAATAATAGTAATAATAAAATAGCAATGAATAAAGGCAAAAAAAAGACCCTGTGACTCCTAGATGAATCTTTTTACACTGTAATAGTGGATATAGAATGTTAAAGGGATAAAATATTGTGTTAGCCTGTTTTTAGATTCTCTTTCTCCTTAGAACTAGAACTTCATTATTTAAAGTTTCCTACATTTTTCTGAGACTGCCAGGAGAAAGTATAAGGCTGCTAAAATCTTTGCTGTGTGCAGTTTTGCCTCTTGACCAAAAGTGACAGGTTGCTTGAAATATCTTTAAATTTGCATTGGATAATCTCCCAAGTGTTTGTTTTTCAGTCACCCTACGAGGATTCAATAATGTTTTGTGATTATAGTGGGGTCAAAAACACGGGCCAGCTACTGCTCTAAAAGAGGCAACAGCTGTGCACTGCTAGCCACATTTTCTTTATTTGTTAGCTATTGCCATCCTCTCCCTGATAATTCTCCTCTATTTCTCCTGCTGCAGGCTATCTTCAGCCTGCTGCGGAAGCAGCCCCAGCAGTAGCAGCACCACTACCATTGCCGCCTCCGCCACCTCCTCCTCCGACTCATCTTGAAGCAGGAGATGCTTCTGGCTTACCTCTGCCACCCCTGCTACCACCTTATTCCTATGATCCAAGTGGGAGTGACCTACCCCAAGGTAGTGTATTTTGAGATTTGGTCAAGGTTGATTAGGTTTGAGATGGTTTTTAAATCTAGAACGTTTTCTGGATGATTTCTGGGTACACAACCAAGTGGGAATGATTTGAGCATATAATTCTAGGTGACTAACAAAAGGAGTAACTGCAGCTATCTTCTACATAGTAAACTAGTAGATAGTTGAATTTAATTATGACTCTCTGTTCCTCTCGTTAGCTACTTCTCTTCCTTGAAAGAGAATCACAAATGGATAGTTTCATTCTTTTCTCAAATATTTTATTTTAAATTGGGAGTTAATATTTAAAACTTTCTTCCATTTCTTAAATTCTTTCCCCAAGTGTATGTATTGTTAAACTTTTTGATACTTGGTACGCCAAATGAATTTTGAGGACATGAAGAAAGCTTCTATTCATCAGATCTGCTTTGAATATCAACCATGTGCTTCCTTAAACAGACAGAAGTGATTTTTCAATTGGAAGTTCTTTGTTGCCCCTGAGTTTAGCAGTATTACTCAAAGAGAATTGTAGCTGTAGTTGTTAGCAGCTTGCTTATACTTTTTTGCTTATAACATTTTTCTGATTTTTTTCCCCTAGCTGCTTCTTTTTTTCTGAGCCTTCTAGACCATGAACTAGTCACTGAGATTTTCTCCAACTCTGTTCTGTTCTTTTTCTAGCTAGCCTTTATTCTGAAATTCTGGTTAATTACTAGACATTTTCATTTAGCTTTTTAACTTTCAAACTTAAATGCTCTGTAATGAAATTCCTCATCTTTTCCCTCTTGTCTTTCACCAGTCAATACAAACATTTATTCCTCTTCTTGGTTTCCTATTTTGTAAGTATTATTGTTGTTTCTACCTAATTTCACCCAATATCTAAATCTTGATTTCTTTTATTCTGTCCACCTTTGGTGCCCAAGTAGTAGTCAGTCATCACATAATGCTGATTTTTTATTTTTTTTAGCATTTTATTGTGAAGATATTCAGATAAACATTGCTGATTTTTTAAAATTGGTAGTATAATTGCCAGAGAGGGTATGTTGTAGATGCTCAGCTGTACTGTTTTATCACATATTTGCTCATTGTTCCTTATTCATCTGACTGGAAATTAATCTGTCTTGTTTTTGATGGCTTTAAAGGTAAATTGTATATATCAGTAGACCTTCCCAATCATAAAAGAGGATAAAAATGAATATATATATACAGTAGAGTACTAGTCACCTATATAAAAGATAAAATCCTGTCGTTTGTGGATGAATCTAGATGACATACATAGTACTTGGTTCTGATGTGTGGTCAGCCCATCAGGGGTCAAATCATTAAATAAAATTAATTGTGCTCGTTGTGGAAGCTATCAATGCTAATAGCTTCTAAGTGAATAGTGGGATTACATATCCACCTTTTGTATCTCTATGCTGGGATTTTGTCATGCTGGAGCGATGAGCTTTTACCTCACTATACCATGTAATATAATCGATTTTATGATGAAGTTTTTGCACTGTATATCATTGTACTTTGACCATATTCACATTCTCACTATTGTGCCTTATGCTTTGATGCCCTTGCTTACTGCTTACTTTTTTTTCTAGGTAATTAGTTTCCTTTTGCTTTCATGTCTTTTATATACATTTATATGTAGTTATATGTAGTTAAATCTAGATTTGCATGAGGCAAAAGATGTGGTAATATGTCATTCCCAACATTTTTTTCCCCTCAGCCTCCTTTTAGAGCCCTTTTGTCAGTCATTCCTCTGCTACTTTGATGTCTCATTTTCCAATTTTGTCCTTTTAGTACATCAAATAAAGTTGACATTAGAATGTTAACCTTAGCACGAATGACTAAAGATACCCCCCCCCTTAAAGAGCGCTAGGCCAGACATGGTGGTACACGCCTTTAATCCCAGCAAAGGGAGGTGGATCTCTGAATTTGAGGCCATCTCTGAATTTGAGGTCTACATGAGAGAGGTCCAGGATAGCCGGGGCTACACAGAGAAACCCTGTCTTGAAAAACCAAAAAGAAAAGAAAAAAAAGAACAATTCTAAAAAATACCTTTAAAACTAGATTCTCCATTTGAAAGGAAACATTGGTCTGAGTCCGGTTTATTTCACATATGATCTGTAGTGCCCTCTGTTATATAATAGATGTCATAATTTTATTTTTTATAGCTGAATAAGGCTCTACTGTGCATATATGCCACCTTTATCCATTCATGCATTGATAGATCTTTAGGCTGGTTCCAGGTCTTGGTCTGTAAGGTTCACCGTTCTTGTAATAAGTATCAGCATTTCACTCTGTTTATAGTTGAACAGTACATAATAAATGTTGGTGCCACATTTATTATCTATCAATGGATGATGATTTGCATTGTTTCTATATTTTGACTGTTAATGATAGTGTCATAAACATTGGTCTGCAGGTTTTTGGGTTGATGTCTATGTGTACCAAAGAATTTACTCTACCAAAGAATTTACTCTCTGTTCTTATATTCTTTGGCTTGAACATCTGCCTTTATATCCATCTATATTAATCAAAATACAAAATGATTCTTTCAAAATGACAAAAAAATTGTATTTCCAATGGGAGTCTGTAACTTAAAAAGGGACATTTTTCGTGAATTCAACTGTTAGTGGAACTTGGGCTATACTAACAATAAAATATGCATGTATCTAGATCAGTCACAGTAAGATAAATATACTCATGGATACAATTAAAATACTGAGAACACTGCTGAGGATTTTGCTCAGTGGTAGAAGTCAATTTGATATTTTCAAGGCCTTAGGGTCCATTCCAAACATTAAAATAATACAAACAAAACAAGAATGTTATACATTTTCTCTTCTTCTGTACATCTAATTCTTGTTAATTTGTGAATTGTTTGCATTGAATTCTATACTTACAGAAGTTTTATAAATTTTGGTTTTATCTCATTTTCACTGTCTTGCTTACTGTCCCTTCTCTTTGGAGTTTGGTGGTAGTGTGTTAGGATAAATCACACCAAGATGAGTTTTTTCATATTATGCCAGCTTTCTCAACGAGCATCACTTCTCAGCATTAGTAGAGGAGCAGTTTGTACTATTTAGAGGTGCTAGTAATGGAGATACAGTTATGATAAAATTTCCATCTTGAAACAAGCAAGAAGATGCCTTTTCTAGCTATTTCCTTGGCAGTAACAGAATGCTATCCCAGTAACATCTGTTTAATACTAAGAACAAAATTTGTATTGAGTGATTTAACTGTGTGTTACAAAATGATCATGGCTGTGCCATGTGAAAAGTAGTCCTTTACTTTAAAACAAAACTGACAGTGGTAGTGTGTGAGATGGCTATGTCCATATCTATTTTAATAATGCTCAGGGAAAAGCCTTTAAGTGATAGTTCAAATTGCTTATGTCAGTCTCTCATACAATTAATTTTGTTTTTGTTTAGATACAAAAGTTTTGCAGTACTATTTCAATCTTGGATTGCAGGTAGGGATAATGCTAAAATTATTTTGATAAGTCCTGCATTCAAATGATAATCTCTATTGAGAAAACAGACTCTTGAATTTTAAAAGCCAAGAATACTGTGACTGTCTAAAGGGTCTTATTACTCTCATGGGATCTCTGAAAGTTCTATTTGTCAGTTTTCTACCTTGGCATGGTTCAGTTTGCCTTACTATATATGAAAAAAAAAGTGTTAAAGAGAGTGGGGCCTGGGCTCTAATCAGCATAACTTCATATATATTAGGTTAGGCTTCATATTTAACATTATATAGCAGCCCTTTTAGTGTTACATACTCAGAACGAATTAATTATTGTTTACCTAATATCTTACATAAATTTCTGTATTCTGTGTGAAGTTAATCAGACCTAGTACAAAGACATTTAAATAATTTTTTTAAGCACTAACTTTAGATTCTTGCCAAATTCTTCCCTGAGGTGTATGTACTAGCGTACATCTTGATAACACTGTGGGTGTTTTGGTGGAGCTTGGGATATGGAGCTAGGGATCATTTTTCCTCCTTCAGTACACTTCCGTTCTTACTAATATAACCTATAACCTAGATACCCTAATGCCTGGAAAAGAATATTTAGCAAATGATATTAAACTATTAGTCTCAGGTAGTTTGTAGTCCTTGCAATGATTTTTCTTAAGCATGAGCAGATTTTCTTCTCCATAGAAACACATCTAAATTAAGAGTAGTTGGGTAGGTATTTTTTCTGTGATATTATCTTTTTAAATGTTGCTTTAAGAGTTGATAATTACTCATCTCTTCAGTTATTACACTCATATCTGGAAACTATGATACATAATCCACAAGACTGAGACATTTGAAAATACTCTCATTGTCAGGCCTGATGGTACATATCTGAGAGCCTACCTAGTCAAGAAGCTGTGGATCACTTCACCTCTTTACATCACAGGGATACTGGGAGATGAATAATAATTAAGAGCTTAAAACTTTTTTTACTTTGTTATTAAAAGTAATAGTGTTCATTATAGTATACTTGGGAACTTGTAAGGGTATTAGGAAAAGCAGGATCAGTAATTATAATGTGGTGTTTTTGTACTTTGGAGTTTTATTTATTAAAAATATGTATCATGCTATGAATTTTATAATCATTTAACTCAACCTGAGTAGATTTGTTTTTGTCTTTACTTTTTAAAGATGTATTTATTTATTTATTTTATGTATATGAGTGGTCTGTCTGTACGTATTCCTGAATGCCATAAAAGGTCATCAGATCTCATTATTGATGGTTGTAAGCTCCCATGTAGTTTGTGGGAATTAAACTCAGGACCTCTGGAAGAGCAGCCAGTGTTCTTAACCTGCTGAGCTATCTCTCCAGACCATGTTTCTGTCTTCAAATATTTGGTAGCATGATTCTTGTTTGTGTAGTATTATGCCATTACATAATACAAGTCTTACAACTCCATATTGTTGAATGCTTTGGTTTCTCAGTAGTTTTTATTTTAGAAAATAATGCTACAAGTGACATGTTTATGCATAAGTCTGTTTATGTCTTTGATTTCCTTAGGGTGATTTTCTAAGTTCATCCATAGGTACAAATATGAGCTGTAGGTGGTATAAAATATCTTAAACTTCTAGTTTAAAAAAGAATACGTCAGCTGTTATGACACTTGGGAATTGACAGCTGGTTGTTTAAAGCTCAGAATACCTTACTTTAGGTAGAGAGAACAGGAAAGACTTTTGAGTGTTTACTTGCTCTCTTGTCTTGCCTCAGTGCTGTCATCACAACTATTGGAACTCCATGTTCTATATGCCACACATGCAGCAGCAGCAGCAGCAGCTTCATGTCGAGAGTTATCCAGAGTACACCGAGCAACCTCTGGTAGACCAAAGTGTTCCTCACTTGTATGGTGATGTAGTGAGAACAGATGACACACAGGTGGAAGTGTCAACAAATGGTGGGTATGGCATGAGATTGCCAACAAGAACATCAACTGAATTTTATTGTGTATAATTTAATTATGGTCTTCAGAGAGTTCAGTAAATTCATATGCATCTAGACTATTGGTTCTTGAAATGTAATATGTAGATGCCTTGTGATCCTTGAGGCCGTAGAAAGGATGTCTGCAGAAGGTCAGTAGTATTTACAAACAATACTAAGCTATTATTCTTCCTCTTTGCGATACCAAGGATTTAAAGTTGAAAGCTACTCTTGCTACATTTCTTGGTCTTGTCATCCTCAAAAGAACAAGAAACAGGGACAATAACAAGATGTTTAAAGTGTCATACAAGATAACATCAGTAGATCTCAGGAGCTCAATACCAGGGATTGAGCACAGGGCTTCATACATCCCAGGCAAGAGATCTACCACTAAGTTACAACCCCATATCATTCTTAAACTTTTTTAGTTATGTTTCTCTTATGGTGAAGAGCCACCATGAACTTAGAGAAGAAAGAGTTCTAGAAGAGTTTATTGCTAGCTTGGTTATAGTTCCAGAGCATTAGTTCCTGTTCTTCATGCAAAGCATGACGGCAGCCATGCATGTATGGCACTGGAGCAGTAGCTAAGATCTTACATCTGATACACAAACATGAGGACATCTGATACACAAACATGAAGCAGGGTGTGTGTGTGTGTGTGTGTGTGTGTGTGTGTGTGTGTGTGTGTGTATGTGTATGAGAGAGATAGTGTGTGTATGAGAGAGAGAGTAATAGAGCTACCTGGGAATGGCCTGGGCTTTCAAAATCTCAGAGCCTAACCCCTCAGTGATACCTCTCCTGCAACAGTAGTGCACCTCCTAATCCTTCCTAAACATTTCTACCAACTGTGAACCAGCTATTCAAGCATAGCACCCTAAGGAGGCCAGTCTTAATCAAACTACCACATTGACTTCGTGACAATTTACATTAAAGGTAGTGCTGGCACTGGCACTAAACTATGCAAATAAAGCTGTATGATTATTAGTGCTACACACCACGTAGAATTGTGGATTTTTTGTTTCTTTCTTCAGAGAAGTTCCTTAAAACAAAACAAAACTTAACTTGGGCCAGGTAGTGGTGCACTCCTTTAGTCCCAGCACTTGGAAGGGAAAAGACAGACTGATGTCTATGACTTTGAGGCCAGTCTGGTCCACAGAGCAAGGACAGCTGAGGGTACACAGAGAAACCATGTTTCAAACAACAACAACAAAACAACGTAAGTCTTTATTCTTACTAATTGTATTTAGTTTTCTTCATGATAAATACAGGAACCAGTCATTAAACACTTCTATAAACTAAATGAAATTTGAATTTTTAAAAAGTTTTGTTTATGTATTTTATATGTATGAGTGTCTGAATGTATGCCTATACACCAGAAGATTGCATTGTAATCCCAAGAAGGTTATAAGCCACCATGTGGTTGCTGGGAATTGAACTCATGACCTCTAGAAGAGCAGAGAAGCCAGTGCTCAAAACTGCCAAGCCATCTCTCCAGTCTCTTTTAAACAGGAATCCCAGGGTTTCATTCTTTCATTCTTTTTTTTTTTCATTAAATTAATTAGTTCACTTTATATTCTGATTGTGGCCCCCTCCCTCCTCTCTTCCTGGTCCCACCTTCCCTCTCTTTCCCTCCTCTCCCTCCTCCCCTACTCCTCCAGAAAGGGGAGACCCTCACAACCAACACACCCAAGCACATCCTCTTCCCCTGTGGCCTGGCAAGGCAGTCCTGCCAGGGGGAAGTGATCAACAAGGAGGCAACAGACTTTATTCTGTCCCCGCTCCCCTGCTCCTCTGCTCCCCTTCTCCACTTCTCCACTTCTCCACTTACTAGGGAACCCACATGAAGCACAAACTGACCATCAGCTACATCTGTGTAGGGGGCCTACGTCCAGTCCATGTATGGTCCTTTGTTGGTGTTTCAGTCTCCATAGTCCCCCCTGGACCCTTGTTTGTTGCCTGGTGATCAGTCTCTTTTCTTGTATCCTTCCCCCGACTCAAGACCCAGCTCTATGACTCGTGGGCATATAACCCAAAAGATGCTCCACCATACAACAAGGACATTTGCTCAACTATGTTCATAGCAGCTTTAGTCAAAATAGGTGTTTTGGTTTTTTGAGACATGTTATCACTGTGTAGCTCTGACTGTCCCTGGAACTAACTCTATAGACCAGGCTGGCCTTGAACTCACAAAGAGCTGCCTACCTCTCTTCATTGAGTACTGGGATTAAAGGTGTGTGCTGCCACTGTCATGGCCCAGGACTTTAAAATGTAGCCTCAAACTCATGATCTTACTGTTTCTTTCTTTGGCAAATCCTGCTGTGTATGTTACCACAATCAGCAAGTTTGATTATTAAAGTTAAAGGAAAGTTCCTGATTTATTGAGTTATTAGCTAACCGCTAACACAAAACATTTTTTTTTAACCTTGAAAGAATGATAAACAAATACCATTGGCCTGCCCAGTATTTTGTCACACGAAGATGTGGGTCTGTCATTTTAAGGAATAAAGCAAGTGGCTGAATTTACAGTGAAAGAAAAATTCTAGATTTGAGACAAAAATTAGAGTTTTTATAAACTTGAGCTTGTAATCATAATGAGCTGATCAGTTTCCTGTAATTTAAAACTCTTTTAATAAGTTAGTTGGAGCTTTTAGGGAATCTTGTTTCTTAAAAAAATGTAAAGAAATGTGTATACATTTGCAAGATCTTTTAAGTCAGTAAAAGTACTAGATTCCCAGTTACTAACAGATGATGTTACCTATGCCTGATTTATTTGTATGTTTAGACGCATGCACTTGCAACTTGTTAATTTGGAAGATTTTCAGCACTTTTTGGGTAAACTCTTGTAGATACTGTTATTATTCATATCCCAAAGGTTCTTGCCAGGTGTGGTGGCACACTTCTTCCATCTCAGAAATCAGGAGGTAAAGGCAGGCAGACTTAGGAGTTCAGGACAAACCTAGTCTATGTAGCAAGTTCCAGGGCAGCCAGAGCTATGTAGCGAGACATTGAGTCAGAAGAACGACAAAAACAAAAACCCAGAATTAAAATGTCCTTACTTGTAGTCATTGTAATCTTGTGATCTTTAAAACAAAACAAAACTGAATGTGCATGGGTATTTTGCCAGAGAAGTTCAGAAGAGGTTGTTGTGTATCCTCCTGAGATGGAGTTAGACTGTTATGAGCCACCATGTAGGTGCTGGGCATTGACCCAGGGCTGTCTGGAAAAGCAGGAAGTGCACTTAACCACCTCTCTATCCTCTGTGAACTTTAAAAATGTTTTAATTATATTTGATTTTGTGTGAATGTGGATGTCTGTGCCTGTGTGTATGTATGCATGCATGTTTTCACGCCGTGCCTCACATGTAGCACTCGGAGGACAACTCAAGGAAGGAATCAGTTTTCTCTTTCCCGAATATCAGGAATATCAGGGCTGGTAGCAAACACTCCTACCTGCCTTACTGGCAGGCCCTGCGGTCTTTTTCAAATTAATGATGTGCTCAATTTTTTTGTGAGAGAATTTGCTTTGAGTGAATTTTTATAACAGTACATCTATCTCTTCTTCATTTCAGATACATTTCCCATGGCTGAAGCTATGCCTGTCCCTCAGGGAGCAGTCTATTATCCAATTATGTCATATCCCTATGGGGCGCCTCTGCCAGGTTTTGATTCCTGTATTCCTGTTGCATCAGATTATTCCAGTATTGTCATGTGGCATCCAGTTGGTGCAGCATATGGTGCTTCTGCCCAAGTCCATGGTGCTATTAATTCTGGGCCAGTGAGCTATGTATTTCTCCCTAACTCACCTCAATATACACCTCAGAATTAAGATTTTGGCGATATGTAATACCTTTCTGCTGCCATTTTTACTGTTATTGTTCATAAATGTCTTATGTTAGTCTTTAAGTGGTTTAGTTGGTAAGAATGTTCAGTATCATATGTCTTTAAAAATTATTTTACTTTAGAAGCAAATCTTTCTTTAAAACAAAGGGATATTACTTTGTATTATGAATAAGAAAGTTGGAATGAATGTACTACTAGTTCATTGGCAGCAGCTTCCTCTTAACCAGCTTGTTAACATTGTGTTAACTGATGATGCCAATGGATAAAAGAAGGAAAATATACAAGCTCTTTTCTTATGATATGATCACCTTAATCCACTGTTTAAAATTTGTATGATTTCCACTTTTCACGAAATTTAAAAAGAGAGAAAAAATAACTCAACCAAACAAGAGACTATGCTACTGAGCATTTGTTTATACTGAAAGAGAGTTCTTCAAGTTTTGTTTAGAATTGTCAGAACTGCATTTCTGTCTGATAGTGATCAGTTGTGAAGGCACATGGTATTCTGCTTCATGTTCGCCAGAGATGGTATTGTTAAATACTGGATTTACAGAACTGTCCCACTGTACAGTATTATGGTGTCCTTTGCACAATTTGCAGTAAATAAAAACTAGCATTTAAAATTACTAAAATGAGTGGAGTTTTCTTTTTGCAACAAAGAGGGTACAAGACGTTTGATGGTTTCAGAGTGTTTCCCCTGACACTGTGGCTATAAAAGAATGAATTATAGCTTGAATTGGTGAGTAGTTATAAGGCCACTTGAAATGTTACTTGATTTCAGCCCCATTGCAGTAAATACTAGTATATCCTGTTCTTTTCTTCTGAGAATGATCCTCTTCAGGTTATTTTTACACTCACAGACACACACACACACACATAAACACACATATATATTAATTAAAAATGTTTTAGTTAGCCTGGGACGTATTAGGTTTCTTTATGGCATTCTCAAACATAATTTGTTTTTGTTGTATTCTTAATTTGATTCTTCTCTTCTGCCCTCTCCTTTGTCTCTGGCCCCTTGTACACTCCTCTATCAATTGTTTGCTTTTTTGCTTTTACATCACACATATTTTGTCTTTCTACCCTTCCTCAACACTGCCAGTATTTTTAAAGCTCAGTCAGGGTTTATTGGAGTTATTTTAAAGCAAATATTAAGCATATGGGCTCAGAGAAAAATGGACACGCCTTTAGAGTATGGGTGTGAGTTTCTCAGCTTTTTTCTGTTATTTCTGTTAACCTTATGACTCTTAGGCTTCTTACTGTATTTTCTAAAGTCAACATTTGTCATGTCTTGGCACTTGGTGATTTTAGTTTGTACTACCTCCTAAAGCATGCTTGTCTCTGACTCTCTGTGAGTCATATTTCATCATATCTTCTGCCTGTCATGTATCCAAACAAGTTTCCTATTGGCTGGTCCTCTGGGGCTTAGTTTGTTCCAAGTAATTTGCTCATCAGTCACATGGCAATAAAAATATCCTTTGGTTACTACAAAACTTGTTTACAAAGAGTATCTTTTAATTTTTAAATTTTCTTTACATTATGCTTTTTGTTGTATGTGTGTATGCTGGATGTTGGGTGAGGTAGCTGTCCTTAAAAATATTACCTATATACTTATGTAGGTTAGCGGATAGCTTGTGGGAGTCAGTGTTCTTATAATCTGAGTTCTAGGTATTGAACTCGGGGACTCAAGTTTGGCAAGAAGTGCTTTTATCTTTTCAGTCAACTCATTGACACCCAGATAACATTTTGTTTAAAGGTTAATTTTGCTTCTGAATAAGTCTTATCCTTCACTCGAGCTAAATTGCAGGCCCATACCAAACTAAAGCAAACCAACCAAACAAAATGGTGAACCATTTGAGACATTAAGGCATGAGGTGCTCAAACTGTGCTAGAATAGAATTCTTTACAAAGGGGACAACTTGTCTTCAGTGTCTTTTCACAATAATTGAAATAATGTGTTCCAACTAAACCAATGTACTAGGGTTCTGCTTCATAATGGACACAGTACTAGTTGGGTTTTTGGTTTAGTTTCTGTAAGAAATAAATCATTCTGGCCAGTTTTCAATATGAGGTGTGCTTAAAGCCCATCACAGATAAGGAGGAGACATTATGCTCCTCTCTCCCCTTGCTGTCAGCTGGCACTGGCTTGTCTTGAAACCCTGATTTTGAAAGTTACAGGTAGACTGATGTGCGTTCAAGCCTCCAAACAGAAAAGGGGGTAATCTCAAGCCCCAGGATAGTCATTAGCTAAAGCTTTGTTTTCTCAACCAAGAGGATGGGGAACTTGGGTAGAGGGCTATGCTAGAAAAATGCTACTCTCAAGTAGTAGCCCATAGGAAAGGGTACCAGAATTTCTCACAATTGGGGATTTTATTTTCTTAACTTTTTTTTATTTTTTATTAATTACACTTTATTCATTTTGTATCCCCCCATAAGCCCCTCCCTCCTTCCCTCCCTATCCCACCCTCCCGTTTCTGCATGCATGCCCCTCCCCAAGTCCACTGATAGGGGAGGTTCTCCTCTCCTTTGTGATCTTAGTCTTATCAGTTCTCTTCAAAAGTGGCTACATTGTCCTCTTCTGTGGCCTAGTAGGGCTGCTCCCCCCTCAGGGGGAGGTGATCAAAGAGCAGGCCAATCAGATTATGTCAGAGGCAGTCCCTCTTCCCATTACTAGGTAACCCACTTGGACACTGACCTGCCATGGGCTACATCTGTGCAGGGGTTCTAGGTTATCTCCATGAATAGTCAAAAACCACAGTCTCATGCCACATCAGGGCAACAGCCACTTTTGCCTTTCCTCTATGCTGAAAACACTTGCCTGTTTCAGGATTGGTCCCTGCATCCTGGGGTAATTACGTAAGTTTTTTTTTCTCTTGTTTTTCTCAGATCCTAACCAGGTAAGAGGCCCTAACAAATGACAATATGTTAGATGCAACAAGGCACAAATGACCTCAGCGTATGGACCCCAACATCTACCAAAAGGAGAACAAGGACCATCCTGGTCCATAGTTCTGGGAAAGTCCCTAAATGTGCTAGTCTTCCTTTTTTTGGCTTGTGTAGCTCTTTTAATTGCTAAGTTTTTGGTAATTGACGTTTGTCAGGCAAGATATTTGTTTTGTTCCTTAGAAGGCAATAACTACATGATCTGAGCTAGTTTCTCATGTAGCCCACTGGCCAGTGAAGAAATACTTTGTATTGGCTTAAGAACAAACGAAACAATAAAAAAAAAAAAAAAAAAAAAAAAAAAACCCTACTTTTGCTAGTCTCTTGAATTTACTACAGAGTTTTTGGTCTTGGTCTTGGTAAAACCAAAGTGGAATCTGAAACCTTCAGTGAAGTACATTGGATATTATGGCCAACTGTTGGGCAATGTGCAGGGAATCTTCTGTAAGAAGTGGGAAATAGTAAGATCTGGAGAGGACAGGAACCCCACAAGGAGAGCAACAGAACCAGAAAATTTGAACACAGGAGTCTTCCCAGAGACTCATACTCCAACCAAGTACGAGGTATGGAGATAACCTAGAACCCCTGCACAGATGTAGTCCATGGCAGCTTAGTGTCCAAGTGGGTTACCTAGTAATGTGAAGAGGGACTGCCTCTGACATAATCTGATTGGCCTGTTCTTTGATCACCTCCCCCTGAGGGGGGAGCAGCCTTACCAGGCCACAGAAGATGACAATGCAGCCACTCCTGATGTGATCTGATAGACTAAGATCAGAAGGAAGGAGAGGGGAACCTCCCCTATCAGTGGACTTGGGGAGGGGCAAGCATGAAGAAGGGGGAGAGAGGATGGGACCAGGAGGGGAAGAGGGAGGGCCTTATGGGGGGATACAAAGTGAATAAACTGTAATTAATAAAAATAAATAAAGTTTTAAAAAGAAAGAAAAATAGGTAAGCAAAAACAAAAACAAACCTAAGCAAGGTTGTACACACCTGCAGTGCCAGCCCTCAGCAAGTGCAAGAAAAAAGATCAGGAGTATACATGCCAGACTCAGTTACACAGAGCGTTTTAGTCCAGCCTGGGCTACATGCAACCCTAAGAAAAATCAAAAAGTCAGATGATGCTATATTGGTTTATGTATCATAAAGTAACCTTTCTCTGACATTTTTGAATCTCCCAAAATTTCTAAACTACATAACTCACAGTAAGTGGATTCATCTGTCATTGGGTCACTAAGCAACTCTAAAGAGTGTTTCACAATGTACTGATTCATTTTGAGAACATAGGTCTGGGATTTAGTTGGTTTTAAGGTGAACGCTTCTGGCAGAGGTTTTTCGTTGTATGTTTTCATTTCTTCAGACTTGTAAGTTGTTGCCTTGCCTTAAATTTCAGTGCCAGGTTCAGTATCCAAGTGGGTTTCATTGTAATAGGAACAGGGACTGTCTGACATAAAATGATTGGCCTGCTCTTTAAATACCTCCCCCTGAGGGGGAAGCAGCCTTACCAGGCCACAGAAGAAGACAATGCAGCCACTCCTGATGAGACCTAATTGACTAGGATCAGAAGGAAGGAAAAGAAGACCTCCCCTATCAGTGGACCTGGGGAGGGGCATGCGTGCAGAGGGTGGAGGAAAGGAGGGATTGGGACGGGAGGAGGGAAAGAACCACAAGGGGGATACAAAGTGAATAAAATGTAATTAATAAAGAAAAAAAATGTACCACTTAAAAAAATAGTTGCATAAAAAAATTTCAGTGCCAGTTAATGCATCATAATTTGATAATTATCCATACAATGTAAACCATTGGGTAATGAATTTGGCTTGTTATTAAATTAAATATATAGTATTTGTTTACTTTTAACCACATATTGCTTATGTATAACAGTCAGATTTTTTCCTTCTGCTTTTTATGGGTAGAGGATGGATAGAATAGCCTGAATTACTGCACAAGTCTGGAGTAGTTATTGAGGATAGCTACCAGAAAGGAAGTAAATGACTTGGTAATTAAAAAAACAAAAACAGAAACAAAAAAAAAAAAACTCAGAACAGCAGAAACACTGGCAGGTGACTTTTTCAGGGGATTATGGGTACTTATATCCATGTCTATTCACAAATGTGGAGGCTTACAACACAACCTTTAGTAGTAGGCCTCAGAGGCCATCACTTTATTTCTTTGAAGACAGAGTCTTTGGAACCTAGGATTCAACAATTAAGCTAGTCAGGCAGCCTGGCCAGCAGGCCGGAAGCAGCCATGGACCTCTGCCTTGATTCTAGGACTGGAAATGGAAATGTACATAACCATACCTGGCTCTTTTGCTTGAGAATCCAATTTGGATCCTGAAGCCTCTGTGGCAAGCACTTTGCTGATGGAGCTCTCAAGCTTCACTTTTTACATATTACCTGTTGAGTTGTCACTGACACTGTAAAAGCTAGTCCTGCCTTTCCTGTATTGTTAACCAAATAGCCATTTCAATGTATTACGGGGAGATAAACTCCTTTTTTGATAAAATCTGGTTATACTAAAGGTAGAGATCTAAGCAATTTCCATAGCAAGAGAAAGAATTCAATTTAAGCTGTGCATATTTATTCTCAAAGCTAATGATGGCTCTCTGCCTTGATTAAGAGCCCATGAAAATATTGAGTCTATTGTACTGTTGACATTCAAGAC